AAATTGCATATCAGCATACCCTTCCAGACTCTGAAGAAGGCGATACTGCCGAAACGTCAGCTAGTGCTGTATTGTATTGTGTTTCTCTATGGAAGCAAATGTATGCTGTTTAAAAACCTCGCGATTGCTGAACAAGAAAACGACACATTCATATTCCAATGCCGAGGTTAATAGAAAGTCGATCCTGGGAACTGTTCCTAACTTATTTGTATTAATGGACTGGTGCAGCGCAGTGGTGAAAAGATGGCAACACACATGAATTCCCTTTTTCAATCACATTCTTTGGAGAAACAAAGCTCTCCATCGCTTTGGGGTCGCCGGTTTGGTATCAAACTGGGGATGGTGGAGGAAGGTGGAAGAAGAGGGTGGAGGGAGGGGAGGGGGGGGGAGGGTGCTGCGAAAACCCTGGTGTAATATGTATGCATTCCGTTATTAATAAGCTAACACAACGTTGATAAAAAGCGAAAAAATGAAATAAACTAAGTAGCAAGAAACAACTAGGAACAAAATGATATGGTACTCGAGCAGATTAGGCCCTAAAAGTAAGTTTATATGTTATTCGTACGTCCGATCACATTTACGCTCCTGTGAAGAGAAATGGCTTGTTCATATTGTAGTTTAACTTAGTTTCAGTATTTCAGGTGGCATTAATGCTGCTAATGCTTCGATGGGATTGTGCTCCGAGCTACCAGGTTGTCAGGCTACTCTTACTCATTGTGAAGCAAGTTCTGGTTTCTTTTGTTTTTTTCAAGTGTCATAAATAAGAATCGGTTCATGACAATTTATTTGGTACGTTACGCACAAATGGAAGGGCTCACAGTGGGACAACGACTGGTGCCAAACCTTGCCATTACCTTTATCTATAAGGTGGAAGCACCAGTAGCGATTTCCGGTCACTACGGTAGATATGTAGATGATGGATTTGCTGTTTGCTACACACAAAGAGAAATGGACAAATGCTTTGAGTTATTAAATAAGCACTCAGAGTACATTAAGTTTATCAGAAAGAAACCGAAAGAAAACTGGCTTCCATTTCTGAACGTTCAAATTATCCTATCGGAAAACAGCTATATTACGAAATGCTAGCAAAGCCAAATAGAAAAACATAGTCAGGCACGTGAAAAGCGGCTCTGAAGAAGACGATACTGCCGAAACGTCAGTTTTAACGAAATAAAGAATAAAGTAACATTTGGTGCTTGCTCAACAAAAATATCAAGTAAAAACATACTGGTTCATTACCTCTCCTCTCACCCTTCTCACACAGAAAGGACGCTGACAAGAAAGATGTTTCAACCAGCCGACAGCGTGTGCACACGAGGAGAGCAGAAGGAAGAATCACGAAAATTGGCGCGGCAAATAGCCGTTCCTAATGGCTACGAAACTGTACCTCTTCAGGATAGTGTGGAGGAAAACCTAAGTCCCCGAACGACAACTCTCTAGCCGTAATAAGGTCCCGCCTTTCACCTCAAATGAAGTAAGTGCAGATATAAAACGTTGTTTGAGAAGGGCGAGTCTAGAGGATGACGCAGGGACTGATATACTACCGAGTACTCTAAGACGCCACCTAGTTGTATAACCGTCACCCGAGAATGCCGCAGCACGGTTGTCCAAGGATTCCAAAGAAAATCTTCTCGACCATCAACGACATTCGTGAAGAAGACCAAAAATTTTCAAGCAGCAGCTGAACTCGGTATGCAAATTCGAGGACTTTCGTGGACAATGGGTGCGAGAAAGCGAAAGGAATAGAAGTGCTGCGATTAGTACAGTATACGATGTCAGGTCACATAAGCAATCAAGTGAAAAAAAACCCAGCAACCTTTCTTTGATAAACTTACACGATTTTGATAAATAATATTTTATTCAGCTAACGTTTCGACGGTTTAAAATAAAAATCCACTCTTAGTTGCCGAATTTATCCGAGAAATTGAGCCGATAACCGTAGTTCAGGAAGAGTACTGAAATCAATCGGTCGACAACGTATAGTTGACGAGTTTATGAGAATTGGGCTTTGAAATCGAAAATATCAAACTTTCTGGAGATTTTTCAGGCAATAATGTTTCTAAATAAAGCAAGCGCACGTTTTCAAAGTAGCACTCTTTAACTCTGTGTTCTTCACCATGAATGAAACATTTGCCCGAAACAGGATTTTTTTTAAAAACTTATTAGCTGAAGAAAACGAGTTCTCCCTGACCACTTCTTCCACAGCATCTATGTTAGATAAGCTATCTATCGATGGAGCCAAAAGTACAAGAAAAACGTTTTGCGAATAAATAAAAGCTGAAAAGAATATACACCTAAGTGGTTCAAACCTCGTGAAATCTATTATACCCAACCATGTATCCATTTGATTCAATGTCACCTGTATCACTTGTAATCACGTCGATCGTCGAGTAACTCGAGCTGACCCCAGTAAACCTTCCATCTCTCCTTGTCGCGCACAGGACTTGCTCACTCGGTTCTGCTTGCTCTAAGAACTCGTTGAGCGTATCTTTCCTCTAGGCTTTTCGTGAAAACTCTGATCATCGGGCCGGTGATCTTCATGCTGTGTGTTAGACGTCTTGTGCAAGCCATTCATTAATAGTTTTTGGTTGGGTTGTGGTTGTGGCTGTTAATGGTTGTTTACGAATGAAACTCTCAAAGTCCTTAACCACTATCGCGCGAAAAGATACAGCACAAACCTCACTGAAGTGCAAAAACGTGGTATGCGAGAGGTACGAGAGCTGATAAGGTTGAAAACCACAAGACTATCCGTTAGTGATAAGGGTGGAGAGTTTGTCGTAATTCCTCATCAGTTAGATGTGGAGATAACGAAAAAGCATCTTGAAGATGCTTCGCTTTACCGCCCATCATCTGAGGAGGAATTCAAAAGTAAATACCGAAAATTGAACCACGAATGGGCCAAAATGGCAAGGGCTGCTGGTTTAAAACCATCAGTTATCTCTCAACTTAAAGTTGACTTACCAACATGCCCCGTCTTGTACTTATAAAAACTCATAAGTTAGTACACAGCGATGATCTTGAGTCTACCGATCCATCACTGTTTAAGATTAGACCTGTCATTAGCTGTGTTTTTAACCCTACTATTTAACCAGTTGTTGAAACACATTCCAGCCCATCCTACGAATACCCAGATGTTTCTGGATTGTCTACGTACTGCGCAGCCCAGCAGCGCATGCGTGATGGAGTCCTTCGACGCTACTGCCCTTTATACAAACATGGCGAATGCCTCAGCATTGCAAGCCATATTCGAACTCCTTCTATAACACGAAAGAGAAATAAACATGTATGGCTTCAAGATAGAGCAGTTGATGGCACTCTTAAAAGAATGCTTGAGCTGCTCAATCCTCAGATGGTCCGAAAAGTACTACGCTCAAATTAGAGGGTTGGTAATGGGACAACGACTGGCACCAAGTCTCGCCATTGCGTTTATGTCTAAGGTGCCAGCACCGGTGATTGATCTCGGCCGGCTACTCTACTGTAGATATATAGATGACTGTTTTGTCCTTTGCTCGACACAAGGGGAAATGGACAAGTGTTTCGAGTTGTTGAATAAACAGCCAGAGTATATCAAGTTCACCCGAGAGAAACCGAAAGAAAAATGGCTTCCATTTCTGAACGTCCAAATTAACCTATCAGAAAATGGCTACATTACGAAGTGGTACCGAAAGCCAAGTAGTAGAAACATCCTGGTACATTACCTTCCTTCTCACCCCTCTCACAGGAAAAGAGTGCTTGTAAGAAACATGTTTCGAACAGTAACCAACGTGTGCACGGGAAGAAAGCAGAGAGAGGAGTCCCGGAACTTGGCGCGGCAAATAGCCATTTCCAACGGCTACGAAGCTGTAGTTCGGGATAGGTGTAGGGGAAATCGGAGGCCCCTGAACGATAACTCTAGCGACAAAGAGGTCCCATTTATCCTATCCTTCATCTCAAACGATGTGAGTGCAGCTATAAAACGCTGCTTAAGAAGGGCGGGTCTAGAGAATTCGGTAAACGTAGTTGAAATGTCACCGAATAATCTTAGGCGCCAGCTAGTTCGTTCGTATATGACCGTCTATGTGCAACGCAAAATTGCATAATTT